CTAGATAACGAAAACAATCTTTTCCACTTTTATGAGGAGTGTCATTCAGCTTAGGCAGTCAAACCATTTTTATTTATCCAGAACTTGTGAAATCACAAAAACAGAATCTATAATCCACATCAGCACCGTCTAATGGTTGATCACAGTGGAGTGTTTTCCAAATGTCGATCAGTTCTGAAACACTGGCACATGCTTTCACCAGTCTTAAAGAAGAGTTTAAGCCAAAATAAAACTCATAAGTTTGCATGTCATCTATTGTATGTTGGAAGGTTTATTGGTTGGCGAGCCTGTCAAGTTGATAAAATAAATTATAAGAGCTGCCTTTGCCGACCTGTTTTTAGGGGATTGTGCACCCTGATCCTTTTTTCACTACCTGGTAAACAATCAGGACATCTGATATGCACATACATGGATAAAGTTAGTAACTTGATAAGTATTAGGTGGAAGTTTTACAGCATACACCTTTAAAAAAGATTAGTAGTGCAGCTCTCATATTTTCAACCTGATCCTGATTCCTTTTCAAGCAATTAAAGCAAGTATACCTAAAGGCAACACTTTTTTTTTCGAGTTTTTGATAGAGCATGAAAGAATTATAACCTGTTAGTTTTTTTTTTATTGCCGAGACCTTGTCAGGGAGAGTCACTCTCTCAATTTGTCCTGGTAACCCATGTCACTGTGAGATGCTGGAGTGTATAAATGAGCCACCCCCTGCACAAAGGCTTTCATTAGAGAGTTAAGCAGCCCCTAGAAAAGAATCACCAAGGAAGATGTTTGGCCCTGGACAGTACTTAAGGCTAAATGCTGGTCTAGGCCAGACCGGAAGGAAAGGTAAGATGCATCTCATGAAGTACCTCATGGGATGGAAATATTTTTTTCACACAAAGCAAAATGAGCCATCCAGGTGTGATGGAAGACCTTGTGGGAGGTCGATTTCCTAGCTCTCAGAAGCGTAAGGATGACAACATCTAGAAGGCCTCTGTTGTTTGGGACCTGGGATTCAGGGACTGAGAAGCAGGGTGGAGTTTGACCTGTTGGAAGCATTGAGGATCACCAGAATGCCCTCCGTCTCTATCCTGCAAAGGAGGCACGGAAAGAGTTTCAGAGTAGGGAAGGCATAGATCAGGCTGAACTGGTTTCATGGAGTCACAGAGGCATCCACTGAGAAGGCCCAGGGATGTCTGGGCCTGGCGACAAGCTTGTGCAGTTTCTTGTTGAACCTGGTTGCCAGGAGGTCCATGCCTGGCATCCACCGCATAGGACAATGGTCCTGAAACACCTCTAGGTAAAAGGGACAAATTTTCCATGCTTCAGATGTTGACCAATGAAGAAGTCCTATCACCAATTTTCCAATCCTGGGATGTGCACATCAGACACAGACAGGATGTGAAATTCTGCCCAGGCCAGAATCAGGTCTACTTCTCAAGCTGTGATTTCTGGTGCCCCATTAATGGTTGATATAAGCCATGGCAATGTCTGACTGAATTCTGGTCAGATTGCCCTGTTACTGGGGGGTTTCCGCAGGACACCTCCCCAGCTTGACAGGCTGGCATCCGTTGTGAGCACTTTCCTGACCATCAGAAGGCAGGGTTTCCCTGATTCCAATGCCAGGTTGGAGATCCTCCAAGCCAGGGCAAGCCTGGCTTTGCTGGACAAGAGCTTGAGGAGGTCCAGGGATGGAACGTGTTTCAGTTTCATGCAAGGACATATAGGGCCTTAAAGAGGACTTCTAACCTCTTGTCCATGTGGCCCATAAAAACAAGAAAATTCATACAGGGATCTTTAACATCTTAAAGAAATAGCTGAGTCTACAAAAGGGACAGCCCATTTTTTAAGGAAACCCTCTTCAATAGGGTATTGCTGAGCAAACCGTTTAGATGGAGTGATCCCAGTCACCCTACACCACTGGCTGTAAAAGCACATGCACAGGCAAGGTCTTGGCAGGTTTCAGCATTTTTTTTAAAGAGCCCAGGCTAGTGACTTTTGGCAAGGCCACTGCAGGCAGCTCTGTAAAGAAAAATAAATAATCACACACACCACATCCAAAAGCACAGAAATAGTGTCCTTGAGCTTGGAAGTGTCTCAGAACTATAGGCAGTGCAGCTGTTTGCAGACATCTGGACTCCCTGGTAGACATGTAGAGTTGCAGCAGTAGCATTTGGCCACTTCAGCACATACCAAGAAAAGGAAAATGGTGGGGGATGCACAGTAGAAAGAACCTAAAGGGAGGCTGCGCAGGCCCCATAGGCTACCTTTGGAATATGGGAATGGTGGCAAGTTTAAAAAGAGGGGCAGCAGTTTCCCTCTCCAAGTAAACCCATTCAGGGAGAGGGGCTGTTACATGGGCACCTTTAGCAGGGACTAGCTCTGACGAGCGGCAGCAACCAGGCAAAACAGTGCTGTAATATAAAGGGGACATACCGAATCCAGTCTTAGCCCTCTCACTGGGCATACCCACCGAAGAGGATATTCAGGGACAGGGCTCCACCAAAATAGACCATCGCCCTTGACCTGTAATGCACCCTGTGGCAACTGCATGTGCTGCACAAAGTACCAAAACAAGTGTCCCACATAAGATCCAGTGCCCTAAACACATTACTTGCTGCCTCTGCATGTTCCTTTCGATGGGGACCAGGTATAGTCTGCCAAGGAGAATCTGCTTATCCAGATAATTGCTTTTAGGTGTCGCAGTGGTTGGGAGCAGCATAGGGAAACTTGAGAAGCAATCTGGAAGCAGGAGGGATTATACAAGGCTGTCCTTACTGCTTACATTTGCGGAGTCCTGAAGGTAAACCTAAAAAGGTAGAGGCTGAGCCCATCCGTCCAAGAATTAACTGTGTCCTGTGATGTACAATCAAGAAAATAATCCTCTCCTGGTCAGCTAATGCACTGCAAAGACTGATAGCAATTTTATTATACAATTATACAGAGCAACAACCACTAGCAGGCCCAATGAAACAGAACTGGGGACAGCCTGCAGCCCATGAGCCACCTGAAGGACCAGCTGAAAGCAGATGAGACGGAGCCCATAGAGAAGTTACGGAAAGTCGACCTGAAGCTCAAGGTCAAGATAAAAAAAGGTCACCACCAGAAGGGAATGAGTCCACGTGGAAGGGAACACCCAACCTAAACAAGCGATAAGCTGATCAACCAGAACCCCCCAAATACAGGTGGAACACTAACAAATTTCTGTGTAGGAAGAAAAGACCCTCAACCTGATGTGGTCAAAAAGAGATGGGGCAAAACCCCTAGAACAGGTCCGGAAAGGGAATCGAAGACAAAGCAGGTTCTGGTGAGAAAAACCAGTGGGTTACTGCGACTGGTGGCAGGCCTGTTCTAAGGAACTGGGTAGATCAGAGCTGAACTCTGCAGTGGAGTGTGTCAGAGCAAGCTTGGAGCCTCTGAAGCTAGTGTCTTCGATGAATTGGGTGAATTTGGTCACAAAGTCTTGTGTGACTGCAGTAGAAGCACCTGAAAAGAGCGTATGGGACTCTGCCTCACCCAATGGAACTAAGAGACTCAGGTGAGGTAGACACAAGAACCATAGGGATTACTGAATTCCAGCTTACAGATATCATTGCCCTAACAGGGTACTGGAACCATAAGAAGAGGGTGTGTGGGGGTCACGCATGGCAGCAGGACTGTCCCTCCATGTCAGTAGATAGACATGTTGCAATCCTGTAGCAGTAATGCAATTAGGTTCAAGGTACGAGGCAAGACACAAACCCAGGCAGCTGGTGGCTGATGAGGGTCGAATTGCCAGACGTAAGCAGGCCACTGTAGGCGGGCAGTAGGAATGGACCAGAGATCGCAGTTTGAAGTGGTGTTTTGCAAAGCAAGAGCAGCAGTGGGACAATGCTTCCTCTTTCAATGCTGAATTGCAGGAAAGAGGGCATGGAGAGTGTGCATGCAAAACTCTACCTAGCAGATGGTCAGCTCTCAATGTTAACCCTGGCCCACTCATAAAAAGTGAGTCTTCAGACAGGACAAGAACTGAGGCAATTCTACGGCTTTGGAAAATCCCTATGCGTCTTTTAGCAGTACTTAGAGACTTGAAAGCACCACAAGTGACCAGTGCCAGGCAGTCAAATTCCAGGCTAGCTCTGCATGTCCAGTTCATGTGATCTTGGTATGGCACTCCAAACTCAAGCTAAGGAATGGCTGGACCATGTAGAGACCAGTTTAAAGCAGCCATGTAGTACTGAAGTCAATAGAAGAATCCAAAATTAAAGTAAAAAAAAAAAAAAGCAAAAAAAAAAAGCAAAAAAGGAGAAAAAAAAATGCCCACCCCCCATGACACTAGGAAAAAACCCTCTGCCACTGTCCAATCCTCCTTTAGGCGACTGTAAAACCAGACAGTATCTCATATTGTGTGCCTCTCAATGTTTTTACCAAAAGTGGAGTTACCCTTTAAAGAGCACCTGTACTCTAGTACTAAACCTATCACAGAGGAAACAATCAGTATGGTAGACATGGATCATCATCGGCTGTCAAAAATACACTTTAACCTTTAAAACAATGATAGTACCATCTCTACAGGCTTCCTATAGAACATACAGCATTGTTTTCTTTAAGAATGCAGATGCATTTTATGATATTGAGCCCAGCTTTGTATAACCCAGAGTAAGGACAAATACCCTACGTCAGAAATCACTGCAATAGAGGTAAAGAAACTAAACTGTTACCATTTATTAGCATGAAGGCCTAAATTATTACTTTATAAAAGAATCAGTAGCCAAGTATAAAACACTTCTTTAGTCTCAATTATGGAAATGAAAGTAAATCAAAATAATGCCTCTTGTAGTAAACATAATATATTACATAGTAAACTGACATACTTGATTGCAAAAATCAAAAGCACACTGAGGTGTTGAAACTCAGTGTAACCAATCAAAAAGTGACGTTTATTAGACTGCCGTCCATGCAGTTTTGAGTTGTGGTTACTAAATTCTACTGCAGTACATCAGTTTTTATTTCTTAATTCAGAAATATATCACTCTTCCTTAGTTCCGAGTGTCAAATCAGTGACTCCATTTAGCCTTCTGAGAACTGCAGATATAGAGATTTTAGCTCTGGATTCTTGAAACTTGGCACAAAATTAATTTTCAGAATTTCATTGAAACCTTCATTTAAAGACGGTGCCACGAATTTACTCCTGTACAAATACAAATGATATGCAAACTATTAAAACATACAAATTATCTTTGCTAAAAAATATGTTTGTTTTATAACTGCAAATGCTCTAGTCTAGCCTTGCTCAACCAGGGTTCCATGAAAACCTAGTGTTTCTTCAGAGGTTATTAGGAACACACCGATATCCCACCTGCACTGAACGCTAATGAGCAGAATTTTCCACTGACACCCACAGTATGGGGTTAGTTCTACACCGATCACCAATGTAAAGGGGGATTTCCCCACTGAGCACCAATGCAAGGGGCATTTTCACACTGACCACCAATGTAAGGGGCCATTTCTCTACTGATCAGGCAACACTAAAATGTTTATTGACAGTGTTTCTTCATTATTCTATATTTGGTTTAATGAATATTATTGAAAATATTTTGTTGTATAGAACAGGAAGTGTGCATGAGTGTGCATGTGGTGGGGGTTGTTAAAAAAAAGATCTATCATGAAAGTCAAATCCTCTACATTATGGTTTTCTGTCTGCAACTTAGTAATCACGTATATGATTATATATCATTTTCAGCAGGGGTTCCCTAAGACCTAAATATATTTTCAAGGATTTCTCCAAGGTAAAAAGGTTGAGAAAGGTTGATCTGGTTAGTCAAGCCCTATTGCCGAGTACCGCACTCTCAATCTAATTCTATGAATAGTCTGACAGAAGAGAAAACAGGGAAGATCTTATTAGTGTACAGGTGAAACTCGAATAATTAGAATATCGTGCAAAAGTAATTGCAGTAAGTTCTGCAAAAGGGGCCCAGACCAAGTACTGAGTACATATGCCTGCTTGTACTTTTCAGAGGTCCGATATTGTTCTATGTACAATCCTTGTTTTATTGATTGCATGTAATAATCTACTTTTTTGAGGTTGTGGATTTGGGGTTCTTGGGGTTTTCATGAGCTGTAAGCCATAATCATCACAATTATGACAAATCACGGCTTGAATTATCTTGCTTTGCATGTAATGAGTCTATCTCATATATTAGTTTCACCTTTTAAGTTGCATTCGTGAAATAAATGAACTTTGCACGATATTCTAATTATTCGAGTTTCACGTGTAATGCTCCTCCTTTACTGCCCAATCAACAGGCTGGGGGGTAGGTCCTTGACCAAGATTAACATGCTAAATTGTACTGGCAGGAACCTGGCTATGTTGGCTGGCAGTATCTCAAGAGTAGTTGAATAGTATTACAAATATTTTGCGAGTTAAGCAATAAACTTCCTAGCAGGAATCAGAAAAGAAATTCAAAGTTTCCCTATTCCTCTTTTTTGCAATTAGGATCTGCACCTATCACACATTAGTTTAAAAAAACTGTGTGTTCAATAACATGCACTTCAAACAGTTGGCGGGGAGTGTTACTACTTTATGATAATCCTAATTAGCCCAATCCTCACCCAAGTGCTGCATTGTGCTGTTGATTTAGGGCAGTACTGGGTTTAAGGCCATCCTTAAGCTGGGTACACACAAACATATTTTCTTAGTTCAGCCTCACAGGCTTAATGAAAAAAAATATGACAGATTCCTCCATCCATGCTAACATTGTGGATGGACGAGGCGCCCGCTGTGTACATTGTATTCTAAGGGCAGTGGCCATCAGACTACCTGAATAGTGCTTGTAGCCGATTGGCCGCCGATTTTCCAGCATGTCCATTTTACAAAAGTCGATCTAATGACCACCTTTTGCTGAGTGTATAGGGCCACCAAAGAACATATTTCGTCTGATTCCTCCTGAATCTGTATTTACCCAGCTTAACTCTTTAAGGAACATACAGAGACAAATTTTCAACACTATAAAGCACTTCACAGCATGTTCATCAGAAAAAAATATAACCATCTTATTTAGATACAAGGTTTAAAAGGGACTCCCTCTGGTCTTGAAGAGATTAAAACGTACTTGTAGCTGTTGATCACCATGTCATTTACCGAAACGTGTCCTTTACCCGTGAATGTCATCTCTCGGAACTGCAAAACGTAAAGTACAGCATTGTAGCCACATATTAGAGAGCACAGTTAGATCTTAGACTGCAAGTGTCTTCGACACTTACCCTATTATTGTGTTTGGCCTGTTCAATGGTGGCAGTGAAGAGGAAACATCGAATTGGAACTCCTGCTTTCTGTGCACAGCTGATGTACCTGAGATATTACACCATGATATTAGAACACTACATTATTCTAAACGTCACCTGCTGCTATGACTGTACCGTCACTGCTGAACTACCCCCTGATGCTGGCAAGTTCCGACTTTATACTCCTGTCTATGATTTTGTATTGCACACAGAGAAGGAAGACAAAATACTGCAGTAGGTTGCCAAATTCTGAATACATGCTCAGTTATAAAGAAACATTTCAATACTGAAAGCTGACACTGTTGTTTTTGAAGGCGCATACTCCAGGTCTGTCATCATTATCCTTTCTTTATTACCTTGAGTAAAAGTTCATCAAATAATGCCTCTCACTACCGCAGATCCACTGCCAACAGGTAGAAATGGTGGGGCCCAGACAGAGCTATCAACAGTTGTCTAGTAAGTGTTTCAAAGGTGCTAGACTAAAGGAAAGGCCCAAGAATCAGCATACCTTAAGTCAAAATCTTACCTTAGACCTTAAAAGAGAACTATGGGGTAACCTTTTTATCCCATAGTTCTGTTTAGGTTTACTGGAGGACATATACTATCATCCTCCCATGACCCAAAACACAGTATATAGTGGGCTATTGTCCGCTATATGCTGAGAGCACTGCAGCCAGGATGGATCCCAACCACAGTGCGCTGTGAGGTAGACAGACATCCAACACTTTCCAAAGTGTAGAGGTGGAGGAGATTTTGCTGGATGCCGCTGCTCTTCAACAGAGCAAAGTAAGGAATTACAGAGGAATATTATTCTTTTTTAAGTGACAGGATTCCTTTAAGCTGTGCAAAATGAATATATAAAACACAGAGATACACAAAAAAAAAGCCAACTGGTTAACCACCTGCGGTCTGGCCGTTGTAATTAAACGGCCGGACAGCGGCTTCTTGAATGCGGGTAGGCAGCGCGCAAGAGCGGGAAATAAGCCTGCAATGTAAACAGCCGGCGATGGCTGTTTACATACAAGCGTGCGGGTGTGCGCCCCCCCCTCTGCCGCAGCCGGCGATCCCGAGCTCCGCTGTGCCCGGTGTGAGCCCGGGACCAGCACAGCAGCTCTGCGGCCGGAGATCAAACGGAGCTCAGTACACGAGCTCAGTTTGATCTCCTCCTCCTCTTCAGAATGCAGGCGGTGATGTGTATTACATCACTTCCTGCATTCAGTGTCACTCTCCGGTACAGAAACCGGAGAGAAGCTGGTGAAGCAGGTGTTTGCTTCATCAGCTTCTCTGGGGGTCCCTAGGTGACATTAGGGGTCTTAAAGACCCCTGATGTCTCCATAAAGAAGACCCGTCACTGAAAATTGGCTATCACAAAGGGGGCTTGTTAGTCCCCTATGTGATAGCAATAAAGTGAAAAAAAAATGTTTAAATTAGTTACAAAAAAATATAAAAAAATTAAGTCACATATAAAAGGTAATAAAAAAATGTAAACATTTGTTTTAAGTCCCCCGCATACACATGCAAACATGCTTCGAGTGCGCCTAAGTGCGTAAACGACGATTGCATCCATTACGCCGCACATGTTACGTATCGCCGCGAACATCGCAGTGAGAGCAATAATTCTCGGCCCATCAATCACTGATAACACTAACCTGATGAGCGGTAAAAGCTTTTAAAGCGTTGCCTATGGCCAATTTTGGGTATGGTAGTTTTTGCGAGTTCCCGGACGCACGCAATTTTAAAGCTTGACATGCTTGGTGTCTATTTACCCGACGTGACCCCGTCTTTTATATTTTGCCAAAAATTTGGTAATAATAACTGATTTATAACATAACGTAGGGAAAACATTTTTTCCCCCAAAATTTTTCTGTACTTTTTCCTTAATATAGTAAAAAATAAAAACCCCAGTGGTGATTAAATACCACCAAAATAAAGCTCTATCTGTCCCCAAAAAATGGTATAAAATTTATTTCAGTACAGCGCTGCATGACGGAATAAATGTCAAAGTACCCCAGCGCTGAATACTGAAAAATGGCCTGGACAGAAGGGGGGTCTAAACACCCCGGTCAGCAAGTGGTTAAACCAGCATACTCACCGCCCACGGGACTCCACATCTGGGTTGGTATTATCGATAACAATACTCTTACCATTTTTCAGAGCTTCTTCACAGGCTGCTACACACTTCTGCCATGTTCCAAGAGTGTCCTAAAACATCAACAGTACAGATTGTAATGCCAAACTATGGGAAACTTTCATTTCTTTCCTGACAGAGCTTAAGGGACATGGTGAGGCTAGAGTAAAGAAGCTGCCGCTACCACTTCTCAATGGTGTAAGCCCCAGGGCTGCTATTCTGATGCTGACATCATTACAAAGTGAGTCACTAACCTCAAATAAGCAGCTAATGAAATTTGATAAGTCAGAGTTCCAGTCCTACAAGTTCAAGGTCAGTGAGTCATTAGGTAATAAAGCAAGGATCTGGATGATAGCCCAAGGACAGTTTCTGTAAAAACCAGCCCATTAAGGACAGCTACCATATCTCTGGCCTCAGACTTCCTTTTACACCAAGTGTAAAAATGTATATATAGATAATATATTAATTGCATTGTAATAGCATTGTAGTAGCATCTCTCCTGTGCCATGTTACCAACGCCAAGGCTTTGGTCACGTGGTCTCTGCTAATGTAGAGAATCACTGTTCTGACAAAGTCCCTGACTACTCAGCTCTCCCTGTAGGTCAGTCTGCCAAGATCTTCTTGCAGATGACCAACACCTCAGCACTTTTACCTGACTGGACGATGGAGAATCAAAATCCCTTTAATGAAACAAAAAGGACATGTTTTGAGAGGCATTACTGTACCTCATCATGGTATACCTTTCTCATACTAAAATGCCTTGTGCTGAGATTTTTCTTTTCAGGTTAACTAAATACTATATTTTCCCTTCTGAGAGGATAGACAACAACCTCTCTAGGACAAAAATGTTACAATCTGTTTTAATACAAGTCAAAGGAAAATACTGGGATGCCCAAAGCAACACATTGTTAACTACATAAAAAAAAAAACAATTTTTACTTTTGGATAGCGTATGAAAAGGATACAACCCCAGTAAAATATGTTATTGCTGTCTAAGCAGGTTCTAACCTTTCCCTACGCTATTCAAAACCTCCTTGATGGGGATGGTTCCCCCACACTTACTACTACAGTGAGGGTGGCTCACTGATGACTAAAGAAACAAGAGATCTCTCCAATGAGGACATAGGCTATGCTTTGACTTGGCTATATCATTAACTACTCTCTTCAGACTGTAATTACATTTTTCGCCACATGTAATTTCAAATATTTAATTGTTTGTTTTTTCACATCTACTTACTCTGTTGGCACATGCATAGCCTTTCTGGAGCAGGTGTTCTTTTATGAAAGTTGATTTTCCAGCTAAAAACAGACAATACATTTGTTGAAGGCTAATCTGATTATCTTTGTATACCTTACAAATATTAGGTATATGAGAAAATATATGAACATTGCAAAGCCCTAGTAATCAAATCATGAGGAGTACATTTCAAAAGTATCAATAAAACAGATTACTTTTTTTCCTTTTTGCTGCTTCTGTACACCAAAAATACAATGTTATCCAACAAGAAAAAAGAAAGTAACATTTACAGATATTTATGTAACTGTTCTGTACATCTAATGCAGGCATGTGCATTCATGACTAAACACACCACACAAAGATATTTCAGATATGGGTAGTGCTGAAAAGTTCAAATTAAACCTGTCAGGTGACATGAAGGCAACAAATTAAAAATACCTTGTGTTGCTTGCAAGTGTGCTCCTTTTATTCTTACTTTGTGCCCTGAAGACCCAGGGAACCACCAATCAGAAAAAAATATAACCATCTTATTTAGATACAAGGTTTAAAAGGGACTCCCTCTGGTCTTGAAGAGATTAAAACTCTTACCACCTTCCCATTATGGAAGCATGTTATATACAGAGGCCTTGACTTCTGCTCTGATTCTGAACTTGGAATCAAGTTTCTACCTTGCTGATAAACAAGGCAAAGTTAAGTCTCGGTAACCAATGGAAGTTCTTAAAGCCAGAGAAGAACAAAAGAAATCCAGCCCTCAGTACAGAACATGCATTCAGGAACAGAGTGCTCCCTGGGTAGGATAAAAGTGTATATGTCTGGGTAAAATGAAATAATAATAAATAAAAAAAAAACAGATTCAGTACATCTCTGAAATACATGCACATTTTCCTATGTTCGTTCCTTTAAAAATGCTGCAAATACAGAAAATAAATAAATAATTAAAGAATTCCGCACCTTTACCTATAGTAAGCTGACAATACTGCCTCTGCTGCACTGAAATCCGAAGTCTCTCCTACTAAACTACACAACAGCTTTCCCTTAAGTTAATAAGACAGTGACAGTATGTGCAGGGGAGGAGTTGGGAGGGTATGACAGCAGGCAGAATGTGCAGAGGGGTGTAAAGGGGCAGTGGGCAGTACGCGTGGGAGTGAAGTGATGGCAGGCGATATGCATGGGCGAAGGGCATGTTGACGGACAGTAAAAAAACAGGGATAGTGCGGAAAGTATGCCAGTAGGCAGTATGTGCAGGACAGGAATGCGGAGGGTATGCCAGTGGGCAGTATGTGTAGGAAAGACGTATGGAGAGTATGACAGTGCACCCAATGCTTGGAAGAGGCACTGAGAGAAAATGCTCTAACAGGTCAGAGCATATATATGTATTTTGTGAAAGATATAATGGGAAAGGAGTGGAAAGTGTCATGATAGTGTAGAGTTGTTTATGTGCACAAAGATTTCAGTACTGCAGACAGGGACATAGGAGTTTATTTTGACGGTGCAAAGATGAATAGGTGGAAGAAGTCTCAGAAGACTGTGGAAAGTGCCTCTTCACTCTAGGAGGGGTTACACCCTGGGCTGGCCCACAGTTTTGTTGTTTCTCATACAGGGCAACACTGGTCATGCGGTCTCCGATTTGTTCGAAATATTTTTATTGGGTTTTAAACAAGAACTTTTATCTTACCATAAATAAAAAACACTGCCCTTAAAGTATGTATGAGCAAAATCTCCAATATATGAACATTTCCTCATGTTATCTTGAAAGTGTGGATGTGCTGACATAGTCCAGCTGAGTAGAAGTCAGGCAGAGCTGACAACATCGCTTTGGATATCAATGCAGCACTTGCAGTGCTGTCAGCCCGCTACAGAAAGTTAGGAGCTGACTTTATTTCTGGGGGGATCATAAGATATTTTTTAGTGCTTGAGCATTTTTAGAAAGACATATCATGGGAAACTGTTTACAACTTAGAGAGCTCTGCTGAATATGTTAATGTTAGACTTTGTCCGCACATACAACCTAGTCTAAGCCAAGATTACATAGTTACATAGTAAGTCAGGTTGAAAAAAAGACACATGTCCATCGAGTTCAACCCATAGAGATAACACAGTCGTTCCAATCTGTGTCTTAAATAAGATCCCATGGTCCCTGGATGTTTCATGTCATTAGAGACAGCAGGGATTATTGTTTTAAGACACACCCTCCCTGGGAGACTGCAGTAACATAAGAGGCTCAAAAACACAACTTTTACAGCAGTAAAAATGTCAGAAATCAAAGAAATGTATAAAACATTTTTTAAAACAAACCTAATGAAGATAAATATGACGGAGTATACAACAACCTTGGACCTGTGCACAAAGTTTGCACTTATTTCCATATTTTACTCTTTAGGAAAGTTTAGATTCTGCCAATATGAAGGCATGGTTGTCAGCAGTTGTGAAATTCCCATGACCTACCATGGTAAAGTTAGTTTTAGTAAAAAAAATATCAAGTGAGTGGAGTTTTAGGATAGCAAATGAGTTCTGCCACACCATTAATGTTAAATCTGTGATGAGGTTTACCTCCGGGAAAGCCAACAGTAACCACAACCTCTGCAGAAGACGACACCAGAGAGGAAGACGGGGGATCACAGAGTGCCCCATTTTGATCCAGTTTTTTCTATAAACAGAACAAGAGCATGTAAGCAAACAAACTAAAAACAGGATTTTTGTCTTACCTTTAAAATCCATTTTCCGTTAATTCTGGAATGGATGGGTTATGCAGTTACTTCCAGGTGATTGGACACTGGCAAACCAAGGATGTTAGGGCAGCCCTGTATAACTCCTCCCACTGCTTTGTAGCAAGCAGTACAAGAGATGATCATAGAAAACCAGAGAGCAGGGTCCTGTGATGTACTCCAAGAAACAGATTTTCTGGAATAGATGGGATGTCCAAAAGCAGTTAAACCGAGTTCCAAGAAGCAGCAATGATCCTTTACTGGAAAAGGGAAGAACTTTACCCCTTAACTCATAGGCTTGAGTGATGGTACATTGAATCTAACTAGCAAGACTGGACCAAGAAGCTGGCTGCCCGATATAGGGACCCTCAAGGATGATAAGGGCTTCTACAGTGGGCACCTCCAGCAGGTACTAGTTCTGGCTTACCTGACCCTCAGCAAGTGACCTTTTTCAAGGCCGAAGCAAATGGCTCTAACTGCAAATAATCATGCAATGCATCCATGATTACAGAAATAGTGTCCTTGAGCATAAAAGAGACATCAGGAGACAGGTCCTCTTCCTGGGCTGAGTCCACAGAACTAGAACCAGCCTCGTCATCTTCTTTTTGAAGACATGCAACGGAAGACAGAGGAAGGTCACAGGAAAATGCTAAAGCGGGGAAGCCGTTACTGAAAAGAACTCCCTGGAAAGCAAGGTAGAGGAGAGTGCTGAGGAAAACCCTGTGGCAAGAAGCAATGGGCTAGCAGAAACAGACTGCGTGGCCTTAGAGCCTACTGCTCATATATCCCTCCATCTGCCATTGCCTGAGAGGGAACCCTATGTACTTACTACTGTGGAGGTTCGAGGGTGCGTTGCATAACTGGCAAACCAAGGATGTTAGGGCAGCCCTGTATAACTCCTCCCACTGCTTTGTAGCAAGCAGTACAAGAGATGATCATAGAAAACCAGAGAGCAGGGTCCTGTGATGTACTCCAAGTACATCACATGCAACACTGTAGGCAGGACATCCAGTGAAGCAATGTGGGGCTGCTGTGACTCTGCACTGCCCCTTTGTAGCAGTGCAGAGTCACACCAGCCCCAATCTTTACAGAGAGGGGTTTTCTACAAGGGAACCTCCAGCAGGGACTAGCTCTGCCTTAATTGCTTACCCTTAGCAATAGCAACCAGATGGGAGCAGCATGGTCATTTAAAGGGGACATACCGTATCCAATATTTGCTCTCCCTGCTAGGCATAACCCCCTGATGTCTACAGGGCTACAATAAAATGGACAATGGTCCTGGATATGTATAGCACCCTGCGGCAGCTGCACACGTGCTGCACAAAGTGTTAAGGTGAGTGCCACATGCAGGATCCAGTGCCCTAAGCACATTACAGGTCAGCCCCACAACTTCCTTCAAGAGGGGTCTAGGTACGGTCCCGCCAAGGCTCTGCCGAGGAGAAAACCGAATCAGACAGCTGCTGTTAGGTGCCAGAGTGGCTGTGAGCAGCTTAGGGAAACTTGTTAGATAAATCTTGAGCATAAAAACTGCAGAAAAGGAATATGCTTCTCTCAGTGAAGAAAAGGAATCCATCACCTAAGGAAAAATCTATGCAGGCTGGAAGTGGGAGGGGTTATACAGTTTTGGTTTGCCAGTGTCCAAATTCTTTAAGGTAGCTGCATAACCCATGCATTTCAGAATTAACTCCCTGTGTCCTGGGATGTACAATCAAGAAATATTCTTTAATACTTACGCATACAGCAATTACACTTTTTCACAGCACTTTACAAATAAATGTAAACATTTGCACTTTTCTCTGAAGAAGCTTATAACTTAACACTGCTTTCAGTCACACATATCAAGACCAATTTATTTTAGGAATGGAGGATCGCAAATTCGTAGTTGAAAGTCCACCACAAACCGCAGATAATGCTGGTGTGCCAGAAAGATAGATATTTGTAAATATGCATCATTAATATTCAGGACGGTCAGGAAATCTGCCTGATGGAGAGAAGCAGTGAATGAGCTTGTGGATTCCATTTGGAACTTGTGAGCTTGAAAGAAGACATTTATAGCTTTGAGGTCCAAGATGGAGTGGATGCCATTTGGGCTTGTGAATAGTAAACAGTTTGGAATATAATTTTTTAAAGTGTTCCCCAGCAGGGATTGGGGCAATGCCACCTTGGCGCAGGAGCCCGAAGAGGGGCCAATGAAGGTCCTTAAGGCATTAGGAGGACATTGCAGATTGGACACTAGAAGTGAGGAGGGGGCAGGGAAAGAATCACAAGCCTGTAACCCTGAGATACCACTACTTGCAACCAGGCATGGGGGATGGAAGATTTCCAAGTGTCTGAAAAAGCCAACAGATGTCCACCTACTCTCACATGTGGGGGCGCATCTTAATGCAGAGGAGGGCAGAGCTGGCGGACTAGAAATGCCAGACATTAGGGGTGGATTAGGGTACAGCCTTAGGAGGACCCAATTTTCAGGCCAAGGGCTTAAAATAGTGCAAGAAGCTCTTCTGAGAAAGCAAGGATGGAGAGGACTTAAGAGCCTGATACTTGGTCTTGCAAAGCTTGTAAAGATGGGTACTCTTAACCTAGATAGCATCCTCGATGATACCATCCAACGCAGCTCTGAAGCAAAGTTTTCCGTCCCCATCACAGCTAAAGTTTAACGCCAAGATCATCTGGTCCATGCAATCCATAATCTGTTGGTCTCTTGTTTGTATGGGGCTTGAAAGAAGTAGCATCCTCCACCAGTTTGATGGTCACTTTGTTTAGTCGAGAAATGGCCAGATTAAATATAAGGACAGACCCTTTCTTAGCTAACTCGCCGCTGAGAGGATACAGAGAAACTAAAAACTTTTAAGAGGGTAGATTAGTTTTTCAGGGCCTCCAGTTCTAATAGAGAAACAAATCAAACAAGGTAAGGTCCTGGCAGCCTTAGAAGGCCTAAAGAACCAAGGCCAGAGACTTATCTGGTAGTAGCGACAGGCTGATCCTGCAGCTCCAGAGTAATGTGCATTGCAGTTATCACAGGCAAAAAAACCAAACCCTTCTTCAACTTAAGTTAGCTGTGGATTGTGACTCCTCAGGGTAGAACTGTTCACTTAGAGATAGCATCAGATAGGGGGTCAGTGGTAGACAGACTTGAGGCAGCCAAAGCAGTTGGAAGGTCAGATTCAGAGACTGCTGGGCAAGATGCAGGGTCAGAAATCATTTGGGTAATCTGAAACATTAGCCCCCTGAATAACTGAAAAAACCCTCTTCAGAAAGAGGTGAGGAGGCAGCAACACCCTGAATGAATAGAGGATGAGCGAGCTGACAAAAACACTACCTGAAAACCAGACTCACAGCTATGGTGGTTCTCACTATAAAGGAATGCGCTATAAGTAGAACAGGACCTATTAAGTGCTGTGTTTTACGCGCAACTGCAGGACTATCTATTCCCCCTCCCCCCATTTATCTAGAATTGTTCAAGGAAGGATCCAAGGCCTCAGTTACTTACAGAACCTGGGCAGCTGGATCACTGGCAGCAAGGTTCAAGATCGGTGGTTGAGCAAGCTGAAGGTAACCAAGCGTCACTGCAAACCGGCAGTAGAAACGGATCAAAGATCTGTGTTCCACGGTAGGTGGAACCTCAGGGAGATGTTTCCTTGATCCTGAACAAGGCATTAGCACAAACCAAACTAATCTATGTCTATACTAGACAGAAACATATACTGGATGGATTCTGAAAGAAATTATGTCATATAATGCCCGTCACACATAATGCCCGGCACACATAATGCCCCCAAACATAAGACTTACTGGGTCAAAGGCAGGAAACTGAAACTGAGCCTTCTTCCATCCAAGAAAAAACTCTTCTGGAGTGTAGAACGGTATGCCGATATTAAGAGCAAACTGCAGAACATTACAAAAATTAGTACAAGAAATGGAATTAATAGCCAGATTACTCTGCTTTGCAACTTCCTACCAAGCGGTCACTGCATGAGAAATCTTTCTTCTTGCGGCCTGGTGCCCAATTTGCAGGTCTCCCAGCAGCATCTGTGTTGACAAAATAAATTCACTTACCATGACCCCCCTTATGATATCACTCTAGTTTACCGTAATTAAAGTGAATGTACAGCCAAAGGTTCTTTTTTTTTTCAGGGAAGGATTAAAACTCACCCAATAATGTTTTGCAGTCTTTGTTTCTCTGAAGAGATTTCCCTTCACCTCTAGTCCCAAATAAGCAACAGGAAGAAACAGAAGATCTCTACAAAGTGATGGGAATTCCTCTCTTAGGCAGTTGTCACAAGTACAGGTGTTCCCACTGCAAGAGTTCCTGTTCTAGTGAGATCTCCAAATTGCGGATTTTCTCTCACTTAGCCACGATAACAAAGGTCACCAGGACATCTCGAGAGGGCAAATCTCCTCAGCAGGCATACAGACAGGTCTAAAAACTTGATAGGGGTTTGAATCCTTCCCTGTTCTATATAAAACTATAAAGAAATATAATTACCTCCAACATATAAACAATCTTCTTTCTGCACTTTGATACCATCATTAGCCTGGAACAGACAGACACACACATTAAGTTAACTCTAGCTAAACAGCTGAACATAAAAGAAGGAAAAGAGGCGCCTTTCCCTACTGTAATATTTTATAATAAAGGAATTTTTATTGTATAAAAACATCCATATACTCAGAAAAATACATGAATTTAAGTGCATCCATAGACCACATCAGTAAACTTTCTGAAACAGCTGAACATATTTGAAGGACATATCAATTGGTTTAGATAACGTCAATGCCAGTCTTGTGATTTACACAGAATTTATCACACTGCTCTTGTTCTCTGTGCATCACACTCTCCCTGTAAGCACTGCTTTCTGCTTTGCAGTGCTACCCAATGGTTCTGCTTGAGGCTACGGTCACACCACTGCAGCAAGGCCACACCGCCCGCAGTGAGATAACCAGCACCAGAACGCGTGCCACAGCGGTGCCCGCGTTCAGGTCCAGTGCGATTGCTGTCCCACGCGTTCTGGTGCCGGCGATTGCACTGTGGGCGGGGGGCGTAGCTGCGGTGCCATTGACTTGAATGCACCCCCATGCCCCCTCCCGCCAAATTTCGAACACGCCCGAGCCATCACTACTAGACAGTATGCGAGCTAGTGTGTTCCAGCAGCTAACCATGCTGGAACCCACTGAGGATGATGTGAACCGGCCCTTGGGGTGTATGCGTTTTTGGTCCAGTTAAAAAACATTCTGGTCTGGAGATGGTGTAAACAAGCGAGGGTATTTGAGGCTGAGTCAAAGAGATTTGTGGTTGACATATAAATCTCTATTTTTAAAGTGTGTGTTTAAAGTCTCCCTGTAAAAGAGAGTGAATACTAACCTTCCCCCCACCATCTGTGCCTCCCATCTTCAATCTCTGGAAGAGCTATGGTAGAATCATCAGCATCCAACACACTATGGGTAGTGTCAGCTGATCGGTCCCCTGCTGCACACTGCCATTGCACCTGCTATCTGCTAGCACATTCTTCATCCATTGGCAGGTGGGACCACAATGTGCAGCAGGGACCAGGAATCCAACACTCCCAAAAGTATGTTGGAGATTCTTCAGCGGCCATAGCAAAAAACATGTGATTTTTAAAGCTGAACTCCAGGCTAAACAAATACTGTCTAAATACAGGAGGCAAGTGTATTCTTACTTAAATCTTGGTGTTCTTTGTGTATTTCTTCCAGATCTGTACATTAATCTTACACTTGCCTCTGTGCAGAAGCATCCTGTAATACACAGTGGTCACTACTGCTCCCTCTAATTATGCAGGGCAACTGCTCTTGCTTCCACCTTCCTGTAGTTCTCTGCAGGCAGTCTGTAGTTAAGTGGAGCTGTTGGGTCCCTCCCACAGCTCTGCTCTCTGCAGGTAATTAGCAGCAGATTATTGATGTCACCACTATTTGACAAGAAGATATGTAAGTTTCAAGAGGCATTTACTGCACACAAAGTGGATTTATATAATTGTTAGCTGCTGAGGAATATATCTAAATATATTCAGCTTTAAGGAGTTGCTTATACATTTGCCCACACACTCACAGAATATATACAGAGTAGGCTTTTTATTACCTTTTCTTACAATATTATCTTGAGTATGTATGGGCTGTAATTAACATTATTGTCTGAAGGAAATCCACATAGGAATTGTTCAGGAGGGACAGAAAGAAAGCTGTATTGGTGCATGTATGTGTCTAAACAACTGCGTAAAGCGGGTGCCTGTTAAAAATTAAAACTATGGACAAGCAAGAAAAAGAAACATGTTATGGCGCTTACAAAGCTTTCAAACTGTGCAGCATTTGTTTGCCCACTGATCTCCAGCAATGCCCAATTCGGAGCGAGTGCAAATCATTTTCAAAGGCATAAACTAAAATGACAGCTTATTTTAACAAAGGAGCTTGCTGCGCTATAAGGGTAATTGCCAATATTATGTCCATGCATACTGTATACAATCACAATTATTTTGAGACAACAAAATTAGACATGAGAAAAGACTATTTGATCAAAAACAGCCAGAAAAACAAACGGTAAAGTGGTGCTTTCTAGGGGGCAAAATTTGAATGGCGATTGAAGCCTATCTACTGAAAGTAGAAGTCTCTATCTATCTATTGAAGTGTTTACAGACAAATCTTGCAGAGTTACTGCAGTCATTATCAAGCATTACATCAGTTCCTGCATTACTTCTGCACTCTGGGAAACTCTCCAGGTGGCTGATCTATAATGAACAGATAAATATAAGTGCAATAAGACAAACAACTACAGCCCTGAAATCCCACATCAACAGGACGCACATGCACATGGTCTCACCTTCTCACACAGGTAATCCCACATTCCAGTGACTGGCTTACGATAGATTCCCATGCCAGTAGCAACAAACACCTAAAAAAAACAGAATTCTTTTTAAACAGCAATATTAAAAGGGTATATATTGTCAAAAAGTAAAAATATGAATTCCTAAATTGAATTTCCAAAAGTTCCATCCCACTCCTAGTAACCATATTACAGATGTTCCTCACTTACCGACTTACCTGTTTTGCAACCACTCGCACTTACGACGGACCGCCGATCGACCTCCGACCTTGCGCGTCAGCGCCAGTGCGACGTGTCGCCGGCGGAAGTGACATCCTCCGATCTTCACTGCAGGTCCCGGTAAGTATTTCCATTGCCCGATGTACAGTACACTGTTCGGTACTGTACATCGGCAACGCTATACAGTACTGTACTAATGCAGTACAGTACTGTATAGAGTTCCTCACTTAACGACCAATCCGTTTAACGACCTGGTCGTAGGAACGGAACTCGGTCGTTAAGTGAGGAATACCTGTAATCTATTCTAGAAGCTTGCAAACAATGCTCATAGGATGTACTTTCTCAATGCAGTGACACAATTTCACGCAATCCTTTGAATATGCACTTCCTTGTGTCACAAAAGCCTGCTGACCAAGCTACAACTCAACTCTTTACCCTCTCAGTGAACACAAAAATGCCTACACTGTAGCATTATCAGTGCTTGCTGGAAGAAATGCATGATGGCATGTGTAGTCTTGAGAAATGGAGATTGCATCACATCGAGCTAAAAGAAAAGAGATGCAAAGCATTCTGGGAATCCAGGAAGTTGTTGAAAGTCATAGGCAGACACAAGGCAGCACTTCCTACACTAAAGGGATTTTTTGAAAAGAAAAATGTTATTAACACTTGCAGTGGGGCTACTCCGGTACTGCAAGGGTTAAGTGCTTGTTCATGTCTAGGTACTATAAAAAAAAAGTTATACTCACCAGACCATTTGAGCCTGCGAATCTGTAGTTAGCTACAAATTATAAAAGCAAATAAAGAGATTTTCCGCTAGTACGCAGGTAGACTACCAAGATGCTGGCATGACAAGCTGTCGTATTAACCACTTTGCAACGTTAGGACGTTCCTGAAAAGCATGGGCTTTAAAGACGTTAGGGCGGCATGGAATGTCCTAACTTCTAACCCCCCCGTTATACTTACCCGCCGGGATCCGATGTGGGGACTTGCCTGGCAACTCAGGCAATCCCCCAGGATCCAATCTGCTGCAATCTGGGTCACGTGATCGCAGTGACAAGCAACTGAGGCGAGATAAGTAGACAGATCACTGCTACTAAAAGTAGTGTGTAATAATAATAATAATAAAAAATATATTTTTAATTAACCCCTTCATTGCTGATCAGAGTTTTATAACTAATTGTTGGTGTGTATTTTTTTCTTTAACTGTACCCATTTAAAAAAAATGTATTTAAAAAAATTAACCCCTTCAGCGCTGATGACAGTTTTATAACTATAATCAGTACAGTAGCACTGTTCGGCATATTCAGGTGTAATTTTAGCATTTTTTTAATTATTATTTTACACTTTGTTAGTTTTACCCATTTTTAATTCTTTTATGTAGAAAAAAAAATAACTCCATCAGCGCTGATCACAGTTTTATTGCTGTGATCACACTGATCATTACACTAGTATTGTTCAGCATTTTTGGGATGTGATTTTTACCTCGGTTTTAATGAAAATGTTACCCTTTTGAGGTTTTTTTTTAGCCTTTCACGTAGTGAAAAATGCAGAGTCCGTTACAAAAAAGGAGTTAGAAAAGACTCTAGTCACTATTGCCCTGCCTGTCCATTTCTACCAGGCCTATGTATCACAGACTGTTTCAGAGTCTACCATACACAGGTATACTATTATTTCAAATTATTCTGTATGTGACTTGATTATTGGCATTATACTGTGTACCTGACCTCGGCTTGTCCTATACCGGCTATACCAGCTACTATAACGGGCGGACGGCAACAGGTTAAACCCAGCATTCTTAAGCAATGATAAAGTGGCTACACAAAACAACTCAAAATATTCCTGTAAAATTTTTCTTTTAAATTTAATATTTTTAAAACTGTTTATTTGTTACTTTAATTGCTATCACATGGGGGGGCTTGTTCCATGTGTTACAAATAGTGGATGCTTGGAGGTTGCTGCACCCCCGGGATAGGGATTATTCCTTATTTTGTTCTGTACATGACTATTATTTAAGATTGGACGCTGTTTTTTTGGGGCCATTTTCATTTGGAGGGCCTCCAACGGTCAAATATTGAACCGCGGAATATATCTGATCACTCTCCAGTTTCCGTAGACTCTCTTGTACCATCCATCACAAAACGCTCTGCAACTTGGACACTGAATGAGTCTCTAGTGCAGAACAAATCTGATGTTAATTATTTGTTGGGTGAGCTTAAGTAGTTTTTCGAGTTGAACTCACTCCCCGATACTCCTCCAGCTTTGTTGTGGGAGAGCACAAGGCGGTCATGCACGGTAAACTGTTTGTGCTGGGTTCCCGCTATAAAAGAGCTACGCTTAAACAGATCCGAACCCTTTTGGCAGATATTAGAGCTCTAAAGGCTTTACACAAACAATCCTTACTACAGGCTCATTTATACACTATAACCAAATATGCTTTTATGCTCACGTCGCGCAAATGTTATGAATCGGGAAACAAACCTAGTAGGCTCCTTGCTAGATCTCTTTAACAGAAAAGGGTCTCTTCCTTTGTCTCGAAGGTGAGGTCATCCTCCAGTGTTATGGCGCATACGACCTCCGCCATTGCAGAAGCCTTCAAGGACTTCTATCAACACCTCTATAATGTGAGGCACTCTTCCTCTCCTCCTCTCACAGGGGATTGACTCTATTCACAGAAAGCTAATTTGCCCAGTCTCCCTGAGTCGGCTCTAAAGGCACTGGAGGCGGACCTCACTGAGGATGAATTTAGGGCGGCCTTGTCGGGTATGGCGACAGGGAAGTCGCTGGGAACTGATGGTTTTACCTTTAAGTATTATAAAACATTTCAAGAGCCTATGCTAACTCAACTGGCTCTGGCACTAGTGTCTCTCGGGAGACCACTCATGATTACATTAATGTTCTTCCCAAGCACGAGAAGGACCCTGCCACTTGCGCTAGTTATAGGCCAATCTTGCTTTTATATCTGGACTTTTAATTGTATACTAAGGTTCTGGCCAATCGTCTGCGTCCATTACTCCCGAGTTGGATACACTATGACCAAACAGGCTTTACTCCGGGTAGGAAGGCAAGGAACATTTCCCAGAGGACCATTTCCTTGATGGCTTTTGTGAGGCTTTGCTCCCAGCCCACCCTTTTATTATCCATGGAAAAGGCTTTCAATAGGGTGGACTAGCAGTATCTCTTTACTAGCTTACACCATTTTGGACTAGGTCCAAAGATGTACAATCGTATCATGGCCCTTTATGTTTCCCCAACGGGTAGTGTACATGTTAATGGGGTTTTGAGTACTCGGTTCACACTTCATAATGGCAATAGGCAGGGGTGTCTTCTTTCACCCCTGTTATTTGTCATATCCCTAGAACCACTTTTGGCCACGATTTGTGCGAACCCTAATACACATGGTATCCGGATTGGTAACCAGCATCACAAACTTGCTGCTTACGCGGAGGACATTTTGTTTTACGTGCAGCAACCCCGCATGCCCCTCATGCATATATTTTTTGCCTGGTAAATGGAACTCTGCTTTTCAATCATGGCACTCCGATAAACCCTTACGCTTATGTCATTTGCTTCAGGGCGCTACACTTAGGCCTTTGGAGGACATTAAAGATCCAGATACCTTCACTCAAATGGATCTATGGAGATATACGCAACTTCAGCTTTATATTTAATATTTACCTCGCCCTCTTCATTCTTTAACAGAGCTATTTTTATGTCGAAGAACTCCCTTACCAAATGTATCTCACAGCTATACAAAGTGTTAATGAAGGATGGAGACTCTGTCTTCCCCCATTTCCTGTATAAATGGGAACAGGATTTGGATAGTCCTCTTTCTGATGGGAAAAAAAACAGTCCTATCTTTAGCCCACATATCCTCCATAGCTTGCACCATGGAAGAGTTGAATTATAAATTGATCTACAGGTGGTATCTGTCTCCATCCAGATTGTATGCCATCTGCAGTGATCTCTCTCCAATGTTGTGGGCATAGGGGCACATATCTGGTGGTTCTGCCCTAATATTCAGGCTTACTGGAATCAAGTGGCCAAATATATTTCAAAGATACAGGTAGGGCTGCAGCTAACGATAATTTTCATAATCGATTAGTTAGCCGATTATTAAGTTCGATTAATTGATTAATCGGATTTTTAAAAAAAGGCTCCAGTGATGGACTACTAGTTTGTATTGAGATTGTTGTCCATCATGGGAGCAAGCTTGGAGTAGGCCTGGCTAGATGTGAGGAGCGCCGGGATTGGAGGAGAGCCGGGCCGCCGCGGCGTGCGCGTTTGGTGGGCGTGGCGTGCGCTGCGTGCGGGGCTTGAGTGTGGAGCCGCGAACAGGCAAGGTAATAGATAGCCGAATAATCGACGATCAAAAACGTTGGTAACGTTTTCGATCGTCGATTTTAATCGACTAAATCGAATCGTTGTTGCAGCTCTAGATACAGGGCATGACCCTAAAGTTTGATCCATAGTGTATGCTGTTCCATTGCACTGATGAACCTGTAGGCCAATATTAGAGGTCACTTACGTCTCATTTACTGACCACGGCAAAGTCGTTAATTTCTTTCTACTGGAGACGGGTGGATACACCTCCTTTCAGCCCATGGTTTAAGATAATGGACGCAGTGTGCTTCATGGAGGAGTTGATTGCCACATCTATAGATCGATACGAAAGATTTACTGCCATATGGGCCTGTTTGATTTTCATCTTAATGTGCTGTCATTGGCTCCTTCATGATCAGAATGTATTTCTATAATTGCTGAATGTAGCAATTATAGAAATACAATCTCTTTCTCTCTTTTTCATTCTCACTTCCAACCTCTTTCTTTTTCTCTTCCGCTTCTACTTTCTTTTTGTCATTCACTTATTCCACTGAGTCTTAGGATTGTCTGATTGACATTCAGATCTGGTATGCTTCTTCATTATGATTGAAGAATCTTTGACTATAGTGTAACTATAATTTTGTCTATGCTTTGAAAATTCAATAAAATCTTAATGTACAAAAAAAAGGAAAGAACTTCAGTTTCGAGTGGGTTTATGGGATCCATAAATCCTGAAAAAGGTCTTGAGACATCCTGCCTCCTAGGACACTAAGTTGTAACTGAGCTCTCACTATCTGCACAGAGGCCCACAGTAGGAGGAGCATAGACTTGATTTTTTGCTTAGTGTCCATGGTCCTAGGAGCAGGCCTAATACACTAGTGGTCTGCTTTGTGCCCTAATGAACATTCAGAGAAATGGAGGCAGCTATTACTGACCTCTCCAGCAAAATCTAGCTGCCTTGTTGGTTTTTAGATGCAACTACAGCAATACTATGAGTCACAGAAGCAGAATACCTATGCAGTTTAGGTGTACTGACTTCACTTGCTGCATGCATGTTTTGCATCAATGTCTAAAAGAATCAAACCCAGACACAGCCAAGTAAATTACCATTTCTAAAAGTACATCAACTTACATATGAGTCTTAGTAAAAGTTTCCATTAAAGAGTCACTTTAAAGCTCAACTCCGATCACAGCAAAACACTTTTTCCCTATCAACTCCAACTAACTCTAGCTAATCTCTCATTTTTATTTTTAAAACATTGACAAAAAGCCTCAGTCACATGACAGGCTAGGTACAAATTCTTCTGGTGAAGTGGATGGTGCCTATTGGCAGGGGCAGTGCCATTAAATCATGGGGATGCAATATAACCAGTCAGCTGCATAGAAAGCAGCCAGCAACTGGATAAGGGGCAGAGGAGGATCACGCGATAGTGGAATAAGTTAAGACAGGGGTAGGCAACCTTGGCTCTCCAGCTGTGCTGAAACTACAAATCGCAACATGCTTCTGCCTCTGGGAGTCATGCCTGTGGCTTGCAATGCCTTATGGGATTTGTAGTTTCAGCACAGCTGGAGAGCCGAGGTTGCCTACCCCTGAGTTAATTGATTCTGGGTCATAGGGTTTTTTTTATACAGATGGCTAGGCTTACTGGAAAAAAATGTAATTGGCTGGAGTTTAACTTTAAGAAAACAAAAAGCTGCTGAAAAGGTATGAAGTGTGGCCAAATTCTGACACTACCCAAGAGGGAACTAAAAGCTAATGGTCTGCACTTCATACTTGTCAGCAACTTTTTGTTTTCTGAAAGTGAAAAAGTCACTCTAAATGAGACTTGTATTTATCTTCCTATCACCACATGAGGGCCATTGCACTTAATACAGACAGTTTGAAATAATAAATAAATCGCTAAAAGAAACAAAAACAACATTTGATGCAATTTGTTGCATGTGGAACAGCACATCTAAGTGTGGAACATTTTATTACTTTTGGGTTTAAGAGTACCCCAAGATACAACTGATGCCTATACAGTATATCAACATGTTTGGGTGTTTAATACAGACCTGTACAGGTATACTCAGTTCATCTAAAACTGCTTCAACTTTCGCTTTAAAAACTTCAGGCCTCAGTTTACCGCGGCTAATTCCCATCTGATTGGTTAAAAAAACCACCTGCCAGAACAGCAAAATAGATAGATCAGTAAATAGGAAGAACAACAGGATAAGAAAAATAGATACCAACAAAAAGTAACTTTGGAGCTCAGCTGTGGCCTCTATAAAAGATGGCCCTGTCTATCTACACAAATTTGTGAAAATCCTCAGCACCAAAGAAAAGTTGTGTGTTCAGTGTACCTGTGTTTATATGGTTCTTAGGTAGGTTTCACAGTGTGGATAAGATGCTCTGTTGGTTGGTTACTGTTGGCTAAATTATGTTCTTCATCAGCTGCCATTTTGAACTTAAGTTCAAAACAATATATCAATCAATCAGAAAAAGAATGTAAAATCTTAAACAGAACCAGTCACTAATTTGCATGTGTAATACTCTGAATCTTCACTCTTGAATTGTTATAATAATGCTGACTTATTAAATTGCTTCATCATATTCCTTCCCTGTCAGAGCAGAAACATCAGGATGTGAAGTCGACCTATTTCCTGTGTAAGCTCATCCATCATCTCTGCAGCCCCGGGGCTGTATAATTAGTTTTACCTTATAGCCATCTTTCAAGAGTTCTTTCAACTTTTTCGGAATTTCTGGATACAAAATTCTGCAAAATATAGAAACACGGACGGATTTTGTAATGACAGAAACACATTCAATAGATGCTGTCAAAATAAATGACTGAGGAACTAGACAAAACTTTATAGTAATTAAAATGATAATTTTTCTATCTATTCTATCTATAGGTGCAGTCTGGTAAGTCGTGTTACCCGCAAGGCCTTTATAGCTCCTGTAGACTCCAGCAAAGAGATATTTATAACATTGTTCCTAACTTTCATCCCACCCACAAGAATGACAAATTCAATAGGAAAAGGCGATGTAATTCCACACCACACCGAACATTCAGTTCACCAAACGGAGAGAATGGGTAGAAGGTATCAAAACATCTTGGAGCAGAAAGCACTCTATAAGGATGTTTTCACTCTCACCCCAAAACCAAACTCTCTGGGTCTGGAGTTTACAGTCTAGGGCTGCAGCTGACAATTATTTTCAAAATCGATTAGTTAGCCGATTATTAAGTTCGATTAATCGGATTTAAAAAAAAAAAAAAATTAAAAAAGGCTCCGGTGATGGACTACTAGTTTGTATTGAGATTGCAGTTCATCATAGGAGCAAGCTTGGAGCGGTGGAAGTAAAAAAAAAAAAAAAAAAGGGTGGTGTGCAATATAGTAAATTATACAGTGCAATGCAGAATACCACCAGCTATAGAGGAATAGAACACATTCAAGCAATACATTATACATACAGTGTATAATGTATTGCTGGGATTTGTATTCCTCTATAGCTGGTGGTACATTGCGCTCTATAATATACAGCACAATGTACCATCAGCTATAGAGGAATACAAATCCCACCATCCCAACGTTTTCTATCATCAATTATAATTGACTTAGTCATTTAGTTGCTGCAGCCCCACCACAGTCTTTATAAACTATTCATACCCAGCATAATTCCTGTTTCAGACTACAACAGACCTTAACCACCTCCTGTCCATGGACGTTCTTGAACGGCCGGATGTATATTACATCACTTCCTGCATTCAGTGTCACTCTCCGTTACAGAACACCGGTGAGAAGCTGGTGAAGCAGATCTCTGCTTCATCAGATTCTCTGGGGGTCCCTAGGTGACATTAGACCCCTGATGGCTCCATAAAGAGGACCTGTCATGAGAATTGGCTATCACATAGGGGATTTCTTAGTCCCCTATGTGATAGCAATACAGTGTAAAAAAAAAAAAACTAAGTCAAAAAAAATGTAAAGCATAAAAAAATAAAGAAGCTAAAAAAAATAAGTCACAAATAAAAAAAAATGTAAAATAACACAACATTTTTTTTTAAAGTCCCCCGCCCCCCCCCCCCACAAACATTACTGTTAACACTAAACTGATGAGCGTTAAAAGCTTTTAAAGCGTTGCCTAAGGCCAATTTTGGGAGTGGTCGTTTTCTGCGATTTCGCTGGCGCGTGCAATTTTAAAGCTTGACATGTTCGGTGTCTATTTACCCGACGTGATCCCATCTTTTATATTTTTGGGATAAAATGATCATTTAAAAAGGCATATTCCACATTTTGCAAATAAATTAATACACCCACATAATAAAATAAAGATGTTTTATTTTTTTGAATGGAGCCCGCAAAGCATTGAAAGTGCAGGTACAATTCACAAGTTCTGCAGACTATTTACCTAGCCCAGAGTCTGTACGGAGGTAGGGACTTTCAGTTATGGAGCTGAAGAAAGTATACAATGGACTAAAAGTGGGATGATGTCACCGCAGTTGTGCTCCATTGCGGTCTATGAGTCTCTATGCCAAGGTAGCAGATGGAACTTGTAGTCTTCCATTCACAGATCAGTGTGAATAGATGATGTGGCTGTGCAGGCAGAGACATGCACAGTTGTTCCGAATTGTAAAAAAAATAAATACAAGATGCTACAGGGAAAAGGACCCTGTGATTCAAGTAAGAGGAGGGGGGCCTGTTTGATGTTTGGGAGCTGTGACCATGTTTCATGTTAACCCTAAATTTGGGTGTAAGATGGTCAGAGAGGTAGAATTAGCCTTTAACACACTATTTCTATCTCATATCTTTAGATCCTGTTCAATGGGTTATAGTGCCACCTACAGGAGAAAGATGCTACGTACAAAACAAAAAAAACAGCCTAGGGTTGGCCCCTACTAGTGGCCAACACACCCAGACTACTAGAGAACTCAAGTTTCCCAGAAGGGATATAAAATCCTGTTTTTTTTTGTTTTTGATAAATTGCTGGAATAGGCAGGCAGTAATCTGCCATGTGGAGATTTTGTTGAGACAGCCCTGCAACTGCACAAGGCAGCATATCAGAGTTTACACATGGATGCTTATATGACTGTACAATTTGGAAATAGCTTATCATAGTGCTCTTTTTCAGGCTAGAAGTGCCCCACAGCCTTAGCTCTACACTGGGTAGAGGGGATTGGTAAGATCGCAGGTCCCCATTACCAAAGCACCGTAACAACCTCTCCCCCTATCTTGCTGTGCCGGCTGTTTTTCCTGTGGAGGTCAGAGAAGCACTGGTGAGCTGTATGTTCTGTACCTCATCTCCCTCCGGCAAGAATTCTCAAGGATCAAGACTGCAGTCTTGTCTCATGATTGCACCCACTTTACAGCACAGCATGGCCCTTCCTGAGAGTGTTTTACATTGAGGTGAACATGTAACCAGTGGTTCATCCCTGCCTGTCACAGTATTTTACCTTCCATAGGTCGATGGGGCCCTGGATCCCTCCTGTGGCTGCTTGTCCCACTTATGCATGTGGGCACAGAGCATGTTTTGCTTAGGCCCTTATTGCTGTGATGGACTGTGAAGTTTAATCCTTCTCTCATTTAGCGTAATGCTCCAGCAGGCATTATCACTGGGCTTCCAGGCCATTTTGGAAGAGGACATACCTCCTTCTAGACACAATTTGACCAGGTGCAGTTGTGATGACCTGGACATTTTCACTTTCCCTGAGTGCTGCAGTCATGGAGAAAAGTAAGGTAATTATGTGTCATTCAACCTCTGCTACTGAACACACGGTGGTTCCTTCCTTTTTTGCAAGTACTGCTCCGGTATAGCTAGTAACATGCCTGGCACTTCCAAGTCAGGGCCGGCATTTGGGGTGTTCGAGCTGTGCTGCTGCACAGGGCGCCATGGCAACAAGGGCGCCAGGCGGCCGACACAGCTCGTTCTCTGGGCGGCACAGCCTGTAACTTCTCTCCTCCTCAGCGCTCAGCTTCAACGCTGTCTTTCTCCTCGGATCCCCGCTGCCTCTGCCCATACAGGAAGCGGGGATCCCAGGAGAAAATGTCCACTGAAGCAGGAGGCAGTGCTGCCTGTTGTCAGGGTGGTCGAGCGGTGAGGAGGAGAGAAGCTGCAGCTGTCAGGACGCCCGAGCAGAGCCGCTGTCATCCTGTCAGTTTCAGGATGACAGCAGCTCTGTGCGTGGCTGAGCGGAGGATCGGTAAATATCTGTGATATTTACCGATCCTCTGTGCAGAACAAAACACTGGAGTGATCAACTGATCACTCCAATGTTTGTAAATAACCAGGAACACATAGTAGTATGTGTATCCAGTAATGAATGAACAGGAAGTGCTTTACATCACTTCCTGTTCATTTGTGAATTTCTGAATGGGTAGTAGCACTTACTATAGAGGCTTCTACCCATTCATAAACTGTTGATAGTAAATATTTTACTATCATCAGTTTCTGAATGAATGGGAAGCCTCTGTACTGAGTGTTTTCCATTCATTTAGAACAGATGCTGCAGAAAAAGAAATTGAGGACTTTGTGTCAATTTCTGATTTTCAGAGCAGCTTTGGGTATAGGTATTCACATATATTCACATTTATTCTTACTTTATTCATTTAATTTATTACTAAATTTTATTTTTCCAGAAGCGCAGATTTGTTTACATTCTTTGAAAAATAGCCCCCCCCACCAGTGGTGGATTCCCGTGTCTCGACTTAAAAAGGGTCACCGTTTCCCTCAGGAAGGAGTCCTCTTCTTTCAAGGACGCCACAGCACAAAAACAGGCTGCAGGGACCGGTCTAGAAGTCAGGCAGGACTGAGAAGAGGTTATTCCTCGAGGGGAACCCCCTAGAATACAGTATTGCAAAGCAAACCGTTTAGGAGGAGGAGTTTTTCGGGGTGGTCCCAGTCACAGTAAAACACTGGCTGTAAAAGAGTAAGGACAGGGAAGGTTTTGGCAGGTTTAGACATTTTTAGGGAATTTAGGCCTTTTGTAAGGTTGACACAGGCAGCTCTAACTGTAAATAATTATGCACCACGACCACAAGGACAGAGATGGCATCCTTAAGCTTGGAAGAGATGTCATGAAACTGGTCCTCTTCCTGGGCTGAATCCACAGAACTGGAAGTAGCCCCTTCTTTTTCAAGGAGTGCACAAACAGAGAAAGAAAGGTCAGAGGGAGACTCTGAAGGTGAGGGGGTCCGCTTATGCCCCCATGGTCTGTGCACGCATTAATTTCACCAAAACAGCAGTAAATTCTTCCCTGTGCAGGATAGAAAATGGTGCCCTGGAGAGAACTGGAAAGGACCCTGAGGCGGGGAGTGAAGGGGAGTAGTACAGCTTAGGGCTAGCAGCATTCCCATAAGGGACAGAACCCTTCCCAGAACCGTTGTTAGGCTGATGATGCAGAGAATAGGTCTGAAATGATGACTCTCTGCATCAATACACTATGAATGGAGTGCCATTTTGATACCCTCTCCTTAGGGGGTGGGGCCATAATGTCCTGCATTCATACGATGCCTTGGTTTTTCCTGAATTAGTGACACTGGGTGTCATTCAACCATGACAACTGACCACATCTTGCAGCGAAAAGGAAGTACTGCAGGGACAGCTCTGAATTAAAAGGTCAGTATTGCAGTGGAGATGCTTTCTTTTATATTGCCCAGAGTTGAGCTTAACATTTCATGTATGATAAATTAATAAATGTTACCTCCAGTCATCAGCACTGGTTGGGAAGACTTTTCCTGACTTTGTAGTGATAATCGTTCCATCAATGTCAAATCCAGCAATCTGCAAATGAAAGGTGATTCATTAAAAAAAACAACATTTCTCCGGCTGTGCAGAGGCTACTTCAAATGCGGACAGAAGACTAGAGTGTTTTCTTCCTCTCAGTAAAAAGCAGGATAATTATTTTGAACTATCATACTTTATAATATAATTGCACCCAAACATTTGTTTCTGAACTAGGACATTCTCGCAGGCGGACTTTTTTTTTTTACCACTTACATACATACATACACACACTGTACAGTTATGCCAACTGTATATGTCAGAATAGGCAGTGATGAAAAGCATCTCAGCTCTGTGTTATTTTCCCTAATTCCTGATCAATGTGACTTGCGCAGTTGGGAGTGTAAATCTGCCCAATAAAGCACAGACAACAGTAGAAAACTTACAGCTGTCCTAAGTACCTACGCTACACTAAAAAGGTATGAACAGATTCAGTTTAAAGCCTTAGTTCTCAACTGGTGGGTCGTGACCAAAAAGTGGGTCGCGACCCCATGTTCAGTGGGTCGCCTCGTGCCGTCTACTTTTCTTGGTGAGAGGCTTCTTAGCCTCCCCCTAGCACAGCACTGTCAGTTCCCACGCCAAGCAACAATTCATATGCTGCTCGGCGCCAAGTGTCAGCTTGACGTGGGGCGGGATGGAGATATGGCCGTGAGGGAGCTCCATCCATACATGCATTGCTTACAGCTTCCTCGCATGTCTTGTAGAGGTACCAGGACCATCACGTTCTGGCTCCCAGCATCTCTACGGGGCACGCATGGGAGTTATACAAGCAATGCACATATGGATGGAGCTCCGTCACAGCACAGCAGCCCACACTGGACCCCAGGTTGAGGATCCAATCCAGTTTTCATAATGTAGGGAGACTGGGTGGAGCTTAAAAGAAAAAAAATTATATATTTTTTTTGAGTGTATATGTGTGTGAGATTGCGTCTGTGGTTGTGTGTGTCTGTCAGTGTATTTGAGGGCACGTTCACACTAATGCAGTGTGTTCATCGAACAGTCCTGTGTGGTTAACGCACTGTACCATACAATTGCACCTACTGGACCTTCTGGTGCGGGAGGTGCGTTGCCATTCATTTGAATGGCACCCCAAACACACCTCCTGCCCACAGTTCAATCGCCCAAACCGGAACGCCCAGTACTGTGCGTTCCATTGCAGTGCGCTCCTATGGGGTTCTCTGTCTCCTCCCACCCAGGAGGGGGGTTTCTCTTCGGGAGATCCCCCTGCCTAGTGCTGTGAGGGACCCGCTCCGGCAGGTCCCCGAAGGAAATGGGTCCACCGGCCTTCAGGTTGGTGGGCCAACAGTCTCAACCCCTGTCAGGAGCCTTGCACCCCGGGGGGTCGGGGAAGTAGGTCCCTTCTTTGGAAGGACCTTGCACCCTTGTGCACGTTTTTGTGTGCTGTGATTTCACGGTTCACTTTTTTTGTTCACAGGGGGAAGTTTGTTTTGATGCACGTCCACAGGCTTCGAAAAAACAAACAAAACACTAGGTTATCAGCTTATCCAAACACATAATGAGTAATACAAGCTGCCAGCTGTGCAGTACTGCAATCTGCTGTGATTCCAGTGGCTATCTGGAGCAGTAGTAACAGAGCTGAAGGTAAGATCCACATGCTGGGTTCAATACCGCCACTGCAAAATGTGCAAGGAGCAAGCTTCAACCACTTCCTACAAGTGTGTGCCAGAGAATGGTCCCCTTTGGGAACTGGATTAAAAAGAAGGTTCCTAGTGCCTAAAATCTTGCCAGCCCATATCAAAGATGTCGGCAGACAAAAGCAAAACCATGCAATATAGTTAAAGTAAGGTGTGGGCCCAGGCTAGCATTAAGTAGTTATAGGGACACCAAGAGACACTGCAGTAGTCTCACCATACAGCCTATTCACTACTCCTGGTGATTAAGGATGGGCTCGGGCGTGTTTGCAGCTCCACGTGCCGAGCCCGCCAGGAAGCTGACAGCGCCAATCACAGGTACTGAGACATTTTCCCGGTCCGCAGCTGCAGAGATCGGGAAATGTCTCAGTGCCTGTGATTGGCGCTGCCAGCTTCCTGGCAGACTCGGCACGTGGAGCTGCAAACACGTCCGAGCCCATCCTTACTGGTGATCTCTCAGTGACTACCCACAATCTGAAAGTCTGCCATGTAATGAGCCAGGTGAGGCTGCTGCAGTAGTTTAGTATGATGCATGCAGAACAGGGAACTGTGCAGTGCACATCCAAGTCTTGGTTGCTGGGTATGAACAATGGTGATGGCTACTTCAATGACTCAATCAGAATCTGGGGGTTCAGTATGTCATGGGGGAACAAAATAGTAGTCGCAATGAATATCTTAATCTGAGGGTTCAGTAAAACACTGCATGAAAAACATTGGCTGCTGGGTCGCATTTCCAAAATCCGAGGGTTTGGTATGACACTGCCAGCAGCACTTGATAGAAGAATTTCCAGTTTGAAAGTCTTGATCCAGCAGAGCTGGATCTGGAGTGACAACCTACCTCCCCAGGATACTTAGCAAAACTGGGTGTGTTCAGTACATGCAGGGGTAGCCAGGCTAAATGGGGCTGTGTTCTTTACTATGCCTAGAGTCCTGGTATAGTGAGGCAACAGCTACTCCCATCTGTAGAAGATTTACTAATCGTGCCCCCCCCAAGGAATGCTGGGAGAAATGATTTTTTTTTTACAGTGAGGAAGTGTTAGAACCACTCGTTAGGTCACAGTTCAGGAGGTAAAGGGAAATATTATGTGCAGGGTTACAGTTAAAAAAAAAAAATTCAAAAAAAGGGGAAAAAGAACCCAAACTCTTTCCCACACTATGCTGTATTGGTTGGGGTCAGCCTATAAATCTCAAATAATGCAAAAAACACCCAGTGTATTTCTGTGTCCCCCGTCCCCCCACACTTACCTGCGGTCAGTCATCTCCTCTGCTGGTACTGGGAAGATACATGGCTTTCCCTGAAATTCCTGCTCGAGGGTATTCAGGGCATTCCTGGGCTCCTTCTGCCATCAGTCAAAGTGTAACAGTGTGAGCGGGGGGCATGGCTTGCAGCAAGCTGTGTGCTTCTATGGACGCACACAACTAGCAGCGGGAACGCGCACACACGGGTGTCTCCTCAGTAGCCGGCTTCCTGATGGAGACACCCGCAAACAGGAAGGGGGGGGGGGGCAATCGGTTTGGGGACAGCTACAAAAAAAATAAACATTTTTAAAGCAGAAACAAATGTAATTTCAAGCAAGTCTGGCCCTCAGAATAAAAAAAATGAAAGTTTAATATCACTTTAAAGCATTTTAAGTGATCATTTGTTCTGTTTTAGTAAGATAAGCCTTCTAGTCTCATAATATACCGAGTACAGTGGCTTACTGGTTTGCACTTTTAGGATCTTATATTTGATTTTCACCAGGAACACTATCCTCAAGAAACTTGTATGTTCTCCCTGCAACTTATATGTTCTCCTGTGCAGATTTAACCGGGACATTCTGGTCTCCTTCCACTGCCCTAAACATACTGGTAGCTTAACTGATTAGTGTGTCTGAATATTGTGGGTTCAATTGATGGGGCAGGGACTGGTGTTAATGTTTTGATATTGTCTGAGGTAATGCCACTCTACCCAAAAACGAAATATCATTTGAATTGATCACTGCTTAAATGATAAGCTGTGATTTGAGTGTTTGTGTACCTTGGAAGAAGCTTGCACACCTTTCTTGTTAAACACCAGGAGCTTTCCATGCTCTTCCCAAACGTCCTTACTGCAGGTTCCACCCCTCAGTGTGTCTCGGGATTCATGAGGTAGTTTAGTATTAGTGCTATTAGCTCTGGCTGCTAACTCTTGAAATTCTTTCAGTTTACTGGAAATGCCTTCTTTGTCTGAATCATCACTATCTTCTGCTGCTTTCAATTCGGATTCCTGGCACTTTGATCTCTTACTGCTTGGTTCCAATTCACCATCTTCCTCTTGCTCTCTTTTCTTCTGGTTTTCCGATGGAGCCCCACCAAAAAAGTCCTTTATTGTCTTCTTTGGGGAAGTAGCTGGACGAGGCTTTTTGTTCACTTGTGAGCCAGGCTTTGGCTTTGCAGACAGTTTGGTATTTTGGGGGTTCTCTTTATTAAAAAATAGAGTGTAAGGATATAAAGAGTTTACCAAGAAGAGGGTCTGATCCTCATTCATGAGAGTGCTTTCTCCATGCTTTAATTTCTGCTCTCCTATGGCGGTAGGGTTTGCACCAAGCTAGAAGAAAGCACATTTATTTACTCCGATATAAAATCCATTGTAATTTAGGCAACAAAATGACCAAAAAAAGCCACGTCCCTGTTAGTAATGTGCTAGACTACTGTAGTGCACAGAAATATAATATAATACCCAATTTTTTGTAAAATATGAAAGACGGGATCACGCCGGGTAAATAGATACCAAACATGTCAAGCTTTAAAATTGCGTTCGCCGTGAAGCCGCAAAAAAAGTTGATACCCAAAATTTCCCATAGGGAACATTTTAAGCGCTTTTACCGCTCATCAGTTTAGTGCTAACAATGATTGACAGCGCTAGAATTATTGCTCTGTCGAACGTTCGCGGCGATATTTAACATGTGGCGCAATTGTCGTTTTCGCACGTAGGTGCAAGGACGCTTGTGTATGTGCGGGCACGTGGGGGGCCGGGGACCTAAAAACATTTATTTGGCATTTTTTTTTCTTATATGTTACTTTAATTTTTAAACACTTTTTTTTTTTTTTACACTAATCCTATTGCTTTACATAGGGGGCTAACAAGTGAAATAGCAGATAGGGTGTGACAGGTCCTCTTTATGGAGACATCAGGGGTCTTTTAGACACCTAATGTCACCTAGGGACCCCAAAGAAGCTGAGGAAGCAGAGATCTGCTTCCCCAGCTTCATCTCCTGGCTCCAAGAGCCGGAGACTGTGTACTTCTGGGTCCAGTGATCGGAGAGAGATCCGCTGAATCTCTCTCCGATCATTGCGGGGAGACCCGCCGAGCCGCTCCCGGGAGCCACACGGGGACAACGGTGCCCGGGGAAGACAGCGGCAGCCAAGGGGGGGAGGCCGCCGCACGGTACAAACGATCCGGGCGCCTGTACAGATGCCGGATCGCTTGTAAATTACCAGCAATCGCCTGCTGTTAAGAGCGGTACCAAGAACACGGCTGCTTGTTTTAACCACTTCAAGGGGGGGGGGAGGCTGTACAGACGCCGGATTGCTTGTATATTAACAGCAATCGCCTGCGGTTAAAAGCAGTTTTAACCACTTTATCGGGCTGCCGTCTATAGATGTATTGCGGCCCGGAAGTGGTTAAGTAAACCTCAAATTAAAGTTTAGGCCACTTTATGAAACCTGCTGAATCCTAAAATGTAGAAACATATCCGACACTTGGAAACCACGGGTCCTGTGGAACTCAAGCTCAAAATCACATGGTTGAGTGCACTGATGAGATGATGTCAGCAGAGTCTATAAAGTAAATTAAAACTATGCTGACGTTGCACTAGTAATGCAGAGGGACACACAACTTAACATGAAACAATGCATGACCTGTTTCCTCATAAAATTTTGAGTTTAGGTCCAGTATAAAGTGAACCTGTCAGGACAGGGATCCACCACTGCTAACTTGTTTTTGACAGTGCATGCTCCAAGCCAATTCCCATTATGCTTGCTTCTTAATTGAATCACCAGCACAGGACAAGCGTGTGCATATCAGTAGCTCCGACACCTTAGATACACATGCTTGTTCCAGATCAGTGGCTTCAAAAAAGGAGATGGAAGAATAAGAATAACAGCACTGCAGGATGCACTGTCACAAACATGTCAAACTGTGGCTTCCATATTTTTCTTCTAACAGGTTCCTTCCAAGTGAACAATATCTCTAAGAACTTTTCCAGATTCTTTTATAGGAAATGATACAATAAAAGTTTCCCTTACCTGAGTGACACGAACAACTCTCCTGTCAATATTTGCCACAAGTTCCACTGTAAAACAAAAAAAGGATGACAGTTCATGTAATACAGCTACTTTCACCACAACACTTCTAACCCTGAGAACAACATTCTGTGAGGTATTTGCCCAAACGTGTTCAGACAAATTCACATTTTAGCCTTGCCTTGGCTGATGTTCAGAGAAGGTGCATGCACTGTAAATGGACAACAATACAGCATTTTCTAGCTGTTGCACAATCTATTCATTCAGCAAAACTGCATGTACTGCTGGTTAGTTCTGTGAGAATTACCCAGCTGTTGGGTGAATAGGGCAACATCAAATGTTCTTCTGTTCGAATGTTCTTCAAATATTATGGGTAGTAATAAAATTAGGTTAATTCTTAAAGAGTATGAAATGAGTAAAATCGGGAGAATGTCACATTATGGCCACTAGATAGAGTTGAAGATTATAGGAAATAAACATATCTTAGTAACACGAGATACCACGTAACAATTTTAGAGAACATTGGAGGGAATTAAGGTGACATTAAACTCAGAAGCTAAATCCTAAAAATACATTCAAGTGTCTTATCTATTGACAAAAATGTATCTTATTTGTGTATCAGTCAGCTGCAGATCCTCAAATCATCTCTGAATTCATGCTGACAATGTCCTTCATTCTGGAGGGTGGCTATCTTTGTTCCCCATGGTCCCTGTCTGTGTTATAAAGTAGCCACCGCTCCAAGCTCGCTCCTGTGATAGACTACAGTCTAAATACAAATTAGTAAATTAAAGGAGAATTATGAGGCGAGTGATTTTCACTCAGCCTCATAATCTGAGCCGACCTGTGACAATGAAACTGTCACAGGTCGGCTCAGTAGATCGGGAAGTGAGCGAACACATACCGGCGCTCGCTCACTTCTCGATCTATCCCTGCAGAGAGCCGTGACTGTCACTCACAGCTCCCTGCAGGGATTCCCCCCTCCACTGTCCTATCCTCCAGTGCTGACTGGCGGAACAGACGGGGGAGGGGGCGGGTACAGTTGGCTCTGCCTTTAGATAGGCAGAGCCAGCTGTCACTCACGCATCTGGGTGGATCCAGACAGAATTGTCGGGATCCGTTCCGGGTGCGGCGTTTCAGTATACTGCGAGCTGTAGCTTGCGGTATACTGAGCTTAGGGTGACGGGAGGACGCTAGTTTGTGTCCTTCCATTACCCTTAGGAGAACTATGGGGAAAAGCCCTAACCCCATAGTTCTCCTTTAAACGTGAGATTGTAGTCTAACACGGGAGCGAGCTTGGAGCGGTGGCTACTTTACAACAAACACAGGGACCACTGGGAACATAAGTAGCCACCCTCCAGAAGGAAGGACAGTGTTAGCCTAAATTCAGAGATGATTTGGGGATCCACAGCTGAGTGACACACAAATAAGCTACAATTGTATTAATAGCTGAGGTACTTGAATGCAATGCATTTCATCTCTGTATTTAGCTGTTTACCTGAAGTTCAGCTTCAATACATCAAACTATTTTATTAAGCTGCACCGGTGCAAGCAGGGCAGCCATCAGGGGGGTTCGGCCGATACTCATGTAAGGATCAGAGCCCACCATAGACAGTCTCAGATGGGCTGTGCAGCATCTATGGTGGGCTCTGCAGGGTCACTCTCAGGTGGGTCCTGTGTCCAGCACATCGCTAAGCCCTGCGTCGAGCGCGTCTCTAAGCCCGTGTCCAGCGGGGGCCGGGGGCTGGCCTGACCTAAAGCCGTGTAAGGGGCCCCAAAATTTCTGACGGCTGCCCTGAGTGCAAGTACCTTATCTAATGTGATATCAGTCAATGCAAAAAAGATATATAATCCAGTTTAAACATAGATCATCACTTATTTGAAATGTTATCGTTCCCATAGTTTTTTTTGATGTGCATCTAATCCTGAACCTTCCAATAAATACATATACATTTTAGATGGTATCCTGAAATATCCTCTCTCCTTGGACCCCTCGATCCTTATCGGAGGCCGCCTTTCCTCCAGTCCTCGGACACCAATGTAAGTGACATTTTTTTCCTTTGCGAGCGTACACACAGGTTATTGCGCCCTCTTGTGTCTTTTTAGTTGCATCAATTACAGGTGCCTCCTCCTGGTCTCTAGGGCTGCATACCACACCACTTCCAAATTCCACCCGAGAGCGCTGTACATTGTTTTTGTTGTTATCCTGACTAGAGACCTACCTTGATTCTTGGAGCATTTCCTGTCTGAGATGCCGGTCTGGGGACTTCTTCCTAGATTAACAGCTACACCATCAGGGAGCTCAATAGGACTGTGCTTTCTATCCACACTTCCTATGAAGCACTTCATTTCCAAGCAAGCACCACTTTAACTGAGTGCAATTCACCTACTGATACAAAGACATTGCAGGTTGAGAGAAGAAAAAGTAATCACATTAAAAGCAAAAAGTTTACATTTCAAATTAACCCAACCCATGTTACAGTATGAAATAATGCAAACTGTTCTATACTTCAAAGAATAAAGTGCTCGGGTAGAAAAGTGCAGCAGCTAATCCTATAAACATTTATGTATAAGCTGCCACATGATTGCTCTGGGGTCTATTTATAAAAGTTTCGGTGTGCGGACATTCATCTGTCTGTATTTTATGGCATTCATTTTCAAAGAGCAGTACCTCTATGCCTAATGCAGCAAATGAACGAATCTTGTTTGCTAATGAAAACTCTCTCCAAAGCTTTTAATGGGTGAATGTTGTTTGAAAATGATGGGTGAATTCCCTGAAAACGATGGATCCTCTTTGAAAATTCTGGGTGAATAGCACGAATACGCTTTAAAAACGATAAACAAGATTTGCCTGTAAAATGACAAGGTCTATTTACAAAAAAACAATCAACATAGCTTATTCATCCAGTGAAACTGCATGTACATTTGTTCTGTGCGAGTCAACCAGATGTAGTGGAAACGTGGCAAAAGCAAATGTTTAGTAAAATGTATCTTATGGTTGAATGTTCTGCAATTGGTTCATTCATACAGACAAGTACAAGTTTAGAAATTTATTTAGTATTAAAAAAAAGATTTTTTGTACATACTCAATGCACCAGTAAAACCAACACCCAATAAACGTCTAAAGAATGGTCATTGCAACAACCCGTTCACTCATAAAAAACACACACATGAATGGGGAAAATACTGCATTTTGGCCACTAGATGGAGCTGAGAATCATGGGAAATAAATGTATTTTAGCAATGATATACAGTTCAAAAGAACACAAACTATTTCTATCCACGTAGTATCAATGGATACATATATATGCTCAGGGCCTCAAGCGGTCTCTTTTATTGCAACACTGTATCTCCATACTAACATGTATTTATATAATGCCGGATGGTCCTCAAACATCTTTGAGGACCATCCGGCATTATATAATACGCTGATCAGCTCGTCCCAGAGTGAATGTGTGAGTGAACGGGTTGTTGCAATGACCATTCTTTAGACGTTTATTGGGTGTTGGTTTTACTGGTACATTGAGTATGTCCAAAAAATCTTTTTTTTAATACTAAATAAATTTATAAACTTGTACTAAATATTAATTCTCCGACCCTTTTTTGACCAGCTGCACTTTGAGTTGACTCCTATTGGTTCATCTCACTCCTTTTTTCCAATCAGGTCCGCCTAAAAAAAAAAAATCAACAGGCGGACCTGATCGGAATGCCCGTGTGAATGAGGCCTTAGAGCTTTAAAAAAAAAATGGTGGAAAAGCAGCAAAGAGTTGAACTCCGGACAAAAACTATTTTTGCACATTAGAAATAAATGACCAATGAGGACATGTTCCCATCTCTGGTGGCTACAGCGCTCATTAACCCCTTAAGGACAAAGGCCTTTTTTCATTTTTTGTTTGCATGTTATAATCCACATTTTAGGCCTGAAAATTACTTAATAAAATGTGTAGCGCAATCGTCATTTTCGAACGTAGTTTACGTGACCACGCGCGTGCTAAACAATATTTTATTATTATTTGTACATTTAATGTATTTAATATTATTTTTAAAACTGGTTTGTTTGTTTAACTTTACTTTAATTGCCATCACATAGGGGAGCTTACAAGCCCCCCATGTGATAGCATATTGGTGGTGAAAGGTGATACTGGGGATCCAAAAGACCTCTAGTATCACCTTTCCACTCTAAATAAGCTATTGAAATGCAGACCAGAAGTGATGCAATACGCATCGCTCCCGGTCCCATAGAACGGGGAGATCGGTGAATGGACGTTCACCAATCTCCTTCCCACTGATACCCGGGACACTGGTCCCAAGCCCGTAAGAGGGGCAGCAGAGCCCGGGACACACGGCTGGGGTGTCGGCGGCCACTTTACTGGATCGTGGAAGCGATCTGGCGGCAGGCGGCTCTTCTGAATAGAGTCCCGGCGGAGTCTGATTAACCCCTTCAGGATTCATGATGGGATTATCCCGTCATGGGTCGTGAAGGGCTTAAGGGCCTGTTCATACCAGGTTAGTTGGGACCGCCGGGATCGGCACATCAGTACTGTTTCCACTCATCGGAAACTGGCAGCCAAACGTTCAGCTCGGCTTGCTGCCATGAACCAGCCCCAAAGGTTCACCTTTTGCAAACAGGACAGTGCAGGCTGAATGAAACCAAGGATTCAAGAATAAGTTCACCTTTTGCAAAAATGAAATAAATGCATATTTGATCATATAAAAATATCAGTTAGGAGAGATGGGGGGAAGGACAGCTGGACAGAAATAAGGACAGCTCTACTGCATCTAACCAGAGCGAGGACGGCTGGACGCTGTATGAGGTGATTTAATGCTGTTTTAAGTCCAGCCGTTCTTCCCCATGTCTAATTGAAACTCCGTACCTCAGTATGAAGCTCTGCCTGGGAGAGAATGTTCAGAAGCCTGAGCTCTGCAGCCCTGATAGAGTGATCATATTGCAGTGCTTTCCAGGCTTGAATGCAAAAATTAAAGAAAAGTAATATTTTTTGTTAAATTATTAAATATGCATTTCTTAAATTTTTGCAAAAGGTGAATGTATCCTTTAATCCTTAGTTTCATTCAGCCGGCACTGCCCTGTTGGAGCCGAACTCCGACACTGAGATTTCTAGTTCCATCTTCAGTACGCTGATCAGTGAGTCACCCCATCCCCCATTCAGAAAAAGCCTTGCCATCTTTTCACAAAATGTTGTTTACAGAAAGGTGTTCTGTGATTGGAGGAGGTTTGGATCAACGTCGCTATCTACCCTCATCCAATCACAGACTGCCTTGTGTGCTGTGAAAACGATGCAAAGCTTTTTCTGAAAGGAAAGAGGGGGTACAGCAAGTGACTCATTGTGATCATCGGTACCAACAGGAGAGTGCAGGCTGAATGAAACGAAGATATTTGTCCCAGATACCATTATTACTGAATCCCAAATTTCAGGTTGTCACAAGAACAGAAATACAGGGGAAATCTTCCAATTGGGGGCCCTAGTTTTGGTGACCCTGCTGATTACTAAGGATTTCCCTCACTTTGGAGGGATTTTTTTTTCACTTCCTTTTGTGGCTATGGAGAGGAAGTTAAGAGAAATCTCCCCAATGGGATACAGGTGGCAAACTGACATGGGTTATAAGGCTACCTGACTATATCCCCGCTGCCTCAACCCATACGTTTTAATGCATTTTACTAAGCCTGAAAACATTACAATGTGACGTGCTAGGACAGGCAGTATCATTGGCTTTAGCACAACTGTTGGTCATCGGTTTCCACGCAAATTATTGTGTAACATTGAAATGAACTGAATGCAGGTTCAGAGTACTGCAGTAGAATGTTTTAACCGGGCACACAGCCCGGTCCCCGGTCCAGAGAACTGATAAAGACAAATTCCATAGTACAAGGATAAACAACATTCCACCGTGTCCCAACATAGAATTCCAATACATGACAGTGACTGTCACAATCTTATGCACAGCGTGCCAGCCCAGGTGACCCCCCCATCCCACAATGCAATTCCCGCCCCCCAACACCAGCTAGCTACACAGACCCGCACTGATGCCGCTGACTTCCGCACTCCGCCGCTAATTGGTGTCACATCCTTTACATTCCGACAGCTCAGGAGACGCGCAGAACTGTTCCGGCTTCTAAATGTCCTGAACTGTCTCACAGAAGCTGGACCTTAGGCAAACTGGAACATTTTCTTGCAGAAATAACTACGTGGAAATGTTTCACCTGCCAAAGGATTAGCAGTTATCTTCTGTCCGTCTTGTTGTCCAGACATTCCTGCTGCACAGCATAGTAAGGAGGGTGAACCCATTATTCCCTTGCAGTGTCACCTACCTGCTCATGCTGTAGTTGTAAAAGAGCCGAGTGTTGTACCATTTTCAACAAAAGCAGATGTTTGGATTATGGGCGCGTTCACATCAGGGCTATGCATTAATCGTGCAGTTGCTGCAATACCATGCAGCGTGGTGCAGTTGAAAAAAGTAATGCATTGCGGTCAGGAGGAGCGTTTGAGGTGCCATTGAAATGAACTGCACCTCAATTCACCTGCCACGCTGTAAGGGCCTGTTCATGCCAGGTCTGTGCAATTAAAGCACAGTACCATGCCACGCACCTACCGTGTGTTAACAGTGCGGGAGGTGTGTTGCAGTACCATTCATTCGAATGCCACTCCAAATGCACCTCCTTTCCGCAATACCTTGCGTTGATCAGTGCAGAAAAAATAATCTTGTAAGATCTTGGGAAAAAGTCTATTCATTCTTTTCTCTACACGGATCTGGCGCTGACGTCATTAGTAAGCAGGCTGTGAAAATGTGGAAGAAAAAGTTGGCCACCAGTGGTGTCTTCTACTGAAAATGGCAGAGCAAGAGTAGAGGAGAAGGAGAAGAGTCACATTAGCTTGTGGCAACATGAAGGCCAGAAACATATCTTCCAACTTTCTGTTATTTGATGCCTAGGATGATTTCTTCCCAGGAAGGGGGGGTCGGTGACTGACAATGGTCTCACTGGGGGGATTTGATGGGCGGCAGCGGATGCCGGACCATACTGTCAGAGTGGCAACATGAAGGCCAGAAACATATCTTCCAACTTTCTGTTATTTGATGCCTAGGATGATTTCTTCCCAGGAAGGGGGGGTCGGTGACTGACAATGGTCTCACTGGGGGGATTTGATGGGCGGCAGCGGATGCCGGACCATACTGTCAGTGGCTCTGTCTGGTGTCCCGCCTAGCTCACTAACATCTCTAGGCAAAAAAAACTCAAAGCTGCCTAATTATAGGGGCAGCCCTGAGTACAAAGTATATAGGTAAAGCATACACTGGAAAAAACATTTTTCTGGATTTTTGTTCCATTTTCTAATAGTTAATAGGATGAAATCGACAATTGTTTCGACTGTAGTGACAAAAAAAATTGAAGAATGGAAGGATGGAAATTTTTTCTTGAACAACAAATTTCTAACAGCGAATGTGGTTTTCATTTAAGAAACTCCATTTCATGCCAGAATCAAATGTTACAGACTGCCTTGTGTGCTGTGAAAACGATGCAAAGCTTTTTCTGAAAGGAAAGAGGGGGTACAGCAAGTGACTCATTGTGATCATCGGTACCAACAGGAGAGTGCAGGCTGAATGAAACGAAGATATTTGTCCCAGATACCATTATTACTGAATCCCAAATTTCAGGTTGTCACAAGAACAGAAATACAGGGGAAATCTTCCAATTGGGGGCCCTAGTTTTGGTGACCCTGCTGATTACTAAGGATTTCCCTCACTTTGGAGGGATTTTTTTTTCACTTCCTTTTGTGGCTATGGAGAGGAAGTTAAGAGAAATCTCCCCAATGGGATACAGGTGGCAAACTGACATGGGTTATAAGGCTACCTGACTATATCCCCGCTGCCTCAACCCATACGTTTTAATGCATTTTACTAAGCCTGAAAACATTACAATGTGACGTGCTAGGACAGGCAGTATCATTGGCTTTAGCACAACTGTTGGTCATCGGTTTCCACGCAAATTATTGTGTAACATTGAAATGAACTGAATGCAGGTTCAGAGTACTGCAGTAGAATGTTTTAACCGGGCACACAGCCCGGTCCCCGGTCCAGAGAACTGATAAAGACAAATTCCATAGTACAAGGATAAACAACATTCCACCGTGTCCCAACATAGAATTCCAATACATGACAGTGACTGTCACAATCTTATGCACAGCGTGCCAGCCCAGGTGACCCCCCCATCCCACAATGCAATTCCCGCCCCCCAACACCAGCTAGCTACACAGACCCGCACTGATGCCGCTGACTTCCGCACTCCGCCGCTAATTGGTGTCACATCCTTTACATTCCGACAGCTCAGGAGACGCGCAGAACTGTTCCGGCTTCTAAATGTCCTGAACTGTCTCACAGAAGCTGGACCTTAGGCAAACTGGAACATTTTCTTGCAGAAATAACTACGTGGAAATGTTTCACCTGCCAAAGGATTAGCAGTTATCTTCTGTCCGTCTTGTTGTCCAGACATTCCTGCTGCACAGCATAGTAAGGAGGGTGAACCCATTATTCCCTTGCAGTGTCACCTACCTGCTCATGCTGTAGTTGTAAAAGAGCCGAGTGTTGTACCATTTTCAACAAAAGCAGATGTTTGGATTATGGGCGCGTTCACATCAGGGCTATGCATTAATCGTGCAGTTGCTGCAATACCATGCAGCGTGGTGCAGTTGAAAAAAGTAATGCATTGCGGTCAGGAGGAGCGTTTGAGGTGCCATTGAAATGAACTGCACCTCAATTCACCTGCCACGCTGTAAGGGCCTGTTCATGCCAGGTCTGTGCAATTAAAGCACAGTACCATGCCACGCACCTACCGTGTGTTAACAGTGCGGGAGGTGTGTTGCAGTACCATTCATTCGAATGCCACTCCAAATGCACCTCCTTTCCGCAATACCTTGCGTTGATCAGTGCAGAAAAAATAATCTTGTAAGATCTTGGGAAAAAGTCTATTCATTCTTTTCTCTACACGGATCTGGCGCTGACGTCATTAGTAAGCAGGCTGTGAAAATGTGGAAGAAAAAGTTGGCCACCAGTGGTGTCTTCTACTGAAAATGGCAGAGCAAGAGTAGAGGAGAAGGAGAAGAGTCACATTAGCTTGTGGCAACATGAAGGCCAGAAACATATCTTCCAACTTTCTGTTATTTGATGCCTAGGATGATTTCTTCCCAGGAAGGGGGGGTCGGTGACTGACAATGGTCTCACTGGGGGGATTTGATGGGCGGCAGCGGATGCCGGACCATACTGTCAGTGGCTCTGTCTGGTGTCCCGCCTAGCTCACTAACATCTCTAGGCA